AAAAATAAAATTAATTTTTTGAAGTCAAGTATATTATATATTGAGTCGACCTTCGACTAAAAATAATCTTCTATTGAATATATTTTATAGACTAAAAGATCTTAAGAAGTGCTGATATACATATGTACGTCTGGAATCTCCGATATCATTATATTTTTACCATTTCACTGAGTTTTGCAAACATTTTGTCGATTCAGTTTACGGTTGTAGACCATCAGGGCCATTTAAAGAGCCTTTGATAACTTCAAAAAAAAAAAAAAAAGTTATTATATTGTCTAAATATTGCAATAGTTTTTAAATTGGTTTTGGTTAAATCTTGAACATTTTAATTGCTAAATGAACTCTCTACGTCAATCTTAGTTGATTTTGACTACTAAACCTAAGTCACTTATAGAGAAAAGCTAAGAGTGGAGTGTTCTCATGAGCGCTGTGAAGGTTTAAGATTAGAAATATGTGAAGATCCCTTTATTTGTCAGCTAACTTTAAGACACTCAGCATAAAATCTGCGAAAAAGTTAGAACTCCGGACCAGAAAGGAATAGTCCCTACCCACCACTATCTATGTATATGTATACAATGTATGCAGGTTTACATATGTACCAAGTATCAACACGTACATATATTTAATTCTATATAAATTTATAAATAAACCCATACAATATTTTCGCAACAATTTACTATCCAGACCCTTTATAAATAACTTTAGTTATGTAGCGACTTCGTTCCCCTGGCACTGCGGCAGTAAGTAGGTACGCCATTTTCATTTCTTATCTTCTCAAATGCCACAATCAGTTCAACCCTGCACTCCGAATGCCGTCGTGCGACATTTTTTCGCAAGACAACCTCATTGGTCGGCAAGTTTATACACTTATTGACCGCAGTGAATAATAATTCTTGCGGTTTTATAATTCAACCACAACCACACATGGTGAGCGGCGAGACAATGCGACTGTGGTTGTTGCACGGCGAATGCGTAGCGCTCAGAGTCAGCGAGTGAGTGAATGAGTGAGAGGGAAGGCGTTTGCACACACCCTTTTGGCGGATGATTTGTAAAACCACAAGTGAAAAATGCAATGAGCCCAGAAAAGAGTTAATTGAGAAGGAGAGGGAGGACGATGACTTTGTTTTAGATTTTGGCTGCAGATGTGGGTATGCGAGTGTGAGCAGGCATGAACGCAAAGACTCCGCCCTGTTGCTTGAGACATCTTGATCGACAACAACAAAAATGTTTTAAGAAATTACAAGCTGCGTTCAACTTTAGTAGCTGGCAATTTCATGTGTGTAGTGAGCGCAACACCCACTTAGCGGTACTCACAACGCTATCGGGACCGAGGCTGCGGCTGCGGCTAACTAGACACACACATGTGGTTTCAGCGGCGAGCGGCGAGCGGCTGTGTCAGCCCAAAAATCCATAAGCAGGAGGAGCTGGAGCAATGCGGCGGACAACAACCACAGTGAAAAGCCATCAACTTGATTTTTATAGGTTCACCGAATGTCTTATATACCGTACAGCAGTGAGCGTGTGTAGAAATGAGCAAGCAATGAAGGAAAAAAGGAAGACGCCACAGTTGGTGATATCGAGGTTACCCGACAAAAAAGTAAATGGGTTGTCTTTAGCCACAAATGGAAGCCACAAGCACATTGAGGCACTATGCTACTCCCAACTTGTTTGCTGTTGCGCTTGCACATTAGCTATCGCACTCGCTCGCACTTCCGGACGCGCATAACAGTATTTGTATATAGATAAAGCTATACGAAGAATGCCACAGAGGCAACATATCGACACCCAATAATTTGCAATGAAAGATTTCATGTGGTTGCAGAGTGCGTGGAGAAACTAACGGTGTGGAGCGGTGGACTCACGAATGTTTTGGTAGTTTTTTTTGCTTATAAAGAGATACAAGGGAGTAAATTAGCAGAGATAATGTGCTGCAGGAGCATATGTATATATATGTGTATATTATACATATAAATATTATATTATGATAGATTTTCAATTCCGTATGGATCTCTAAAATTTAACGAAGTTATCAGGAACTGAGGTCCATGTAGCTTCTTTTATTGTGGAGAAGCATCGAAACCTGGAATTCGGAACTTTAATTAGCTAAATCTGACTATCTATAAAGATTCTCTCATTGAAGCATTGTATTAAGTATTACTTCGTGAGATCATATATGTACATAGATGTTCCGGAATGTATATAGATAAGAGCATATGGGTTAGAACGACGATCGAGTTGTTGGATTATTATCATTTTCTGTATTCATTGCATGTTTCGAAACGGTTGATGTTCTCTTAATATTTGATAGTTGAAGGACAAGCATAACAACCATTGAAGGAAAGTTGATTGTGAGAAATCTGTTTGAAAAGCTTGCAAACCTTCTGGGCTTAAACCATGTCGGAGATCGAAAGCAAGAGGTGATGAGAAAGCTTAGTGAATCCAATTGTTGCAATACGTTGAGCGAATGTATGAAGATTCTACAGATCTAAAAGTAATTACTACATTAGCCGTTTTATGATTATAAAGTGAATGCATAGCAACCTTTCAACCATGCTCTGGGAGTTCTTGTGATCGATATATGGGTCTGGCGTCGTCCTGCTGGAACTAAATTCCTTTCCACTTAATTTATTCAGACGGTCCAATTGTTGATAGAAGCCCGAATCAAAAGTTTAGCCGTAGGAAAGTAAGTAGATGATTCACTGTCAAACCCACTAAAAACATATCGAATTCTTCTTGACTGCCAGTCCCGGCATGGTCGCAGTTTTCGCCGGCTCACCGCGATTCGACCACGATTGTTTTCGCCTGACATTGTCGTAAGGCACCTACTTTTCGTCAGTCGTAAGTATCCGCGTCCGGTTCAGGAAGGTTTTGCAGAAGAAACTTCGGTCCATGATTGTTTTCTGCGTTAACTCGCTCGAAATTGGTGGAAAACGCTGTGACATGTTTAACCAATTGCACTCAAATGGTTTAAATGCCGGATTTACTGAACCTGACTACTGTAAAAATGATGACTTATCAAAATGTGGTCGCAATGAGCTTCGAAAAGCAAAAGATAGAATCTACATATGTCTTAAAATTCCATCCAGAAATGAAGCAGTAAGCTAATTTTCTCAATTGTGAAGTTGATCCCTGGAAAACTGGCTTATAAACTTTTGTTAAATAGATGAAAGACCTCATTCTTCTTCTTTACTGACTGGATGAAACATTCTATTAAACGATGACAGTTAAAGCGTGAAAGGCATCTCACAACTCAACCAATATGAAGCTGAAGGCTTTGTAGCCGAGCTCCTTGTGTCATCTTCGAACAAATAATCGATTAGATGAAAAGTTCTGTCGAGAAATATTCGAAATTGTCTATGGAGACGAAAGTATTAGCAGTGGCGTAGTTACAACTTCGGGCGCCCGGGGCCAAGGATGTTCTGCCGCCCCCTTTATCTACCTACCTACAAGTTTCATGAGGGGGTTCGAACAAAAGTGAAT